TTGTGAGACAGAGTACCAGAGAGGTGGGAGTTGTACAAAGAACTCGAGGCAGGTGAAGGAGCCTCCTGAAGTCAGGTTGAGTCCTGACCTACACATGAATGAGAGGAGAGCACATGAGGCCAGAGAAAGAACCCCACTGGAAAGGAGCAGGCCAAACGATTCCTGGAACTCACACAGAGCCGGGAATAATCTGTGTTGCCATTAGCCAGAGTATACACAAGGGCATCAGAAGGGCATGGCTTTCTGTAATGAGGCTAAGTTAGCCCGAAGTGAAAGGGTACTCTGGACCTACACTAACAATGAAAAAGCAAGGCTTGGAAGATCCAGCCGATGTAAGGGATCTTACCTGTGTGTTAGAGCAAAGTCCAGTGCTATTTAAAGGAATATACAAAATCCACAACACAGAACTCACACTGTTAGGCATTCAATAAAATGACCAGGCATGCAAAAAACCAGGAAAATGTGACATAATCAGGAGAACAATGAACAGAACTAGATTTAGAAATGGCAGAGATGATGAGATTAACAAAGACATGGAAACAGCAATGATAAATACGCTCTCAGTTCAGAAAAGTGGAGGAGACGGTTAACACAATGGGAAGAGAGCTGGAAGGGATATTTCTAAAAGACCCAAACAGAACATCTAGAGTTAGAAATAAATGTTAAAGCACAATGATGGCATTAACAGTAGTTGAGGCAGCGCACATCAGTGAACTTCAAAGAGAGCAGCAGAATCTGTCCACAATGAGAACAGAAAGAAAAATGGAAAAATTGATAGAGCATCAATGACTATAACAAGGACAGTTGTTAGGGACAGAAACCGTCTGCATATGTAATCAAAGCCCCAGAAAAGAGGGAAAGGGGAGAACAGAAAAAAGATTCTAAAAAATAATGACCAGAAAATTTCCAAATTTGATGAAAACTATAAGCCCACATATTTAAGAATCCCAATGAGAGTAACTATAAAGGTAACCACACCAAGGCACATCATCATCACATTGCTGACAACCAATAATAAAGAGAAAATCCTGAAAGCAGGCAGAGAAAAAGTACACGTCACTTACAGAGTAACAGAGGTAAGAATAACAGCAAACTTCTCATCACAAATTTACCACATCAACAGACAATGGAGAGACCTCTTGAATTTTCTTTTTTTTTCCCCCCTGAGACGGAGTCTCACTTTTGCACAGACTGGAGTACAGTGGCATGATCTCAGCTCACTGCAGTCTTTGCCTCCTAGGTTCAAGTGATTCTCCTGCCTCAGCCTGCTGAGTAGGTGAGATTACCGGTGCATACCACCACACCTGGCTCATATTTTTGTATTTTTAGTAGAGAGAAGGTTTCGCTCTGTTGGCCAGGCTGCTCTCAAACTCCTGACCTCATGATCTGCCTGCCTTGACCTCCTGAACTGCTGGAGTTACAGCTGTGAGCCACTGCACCTGGCCTGGAGACACATCTTTAAAGTACTTTTTTTAAAAGCCTACTGGGGTTGGGTGCGGTGGCCAACACCTGCAATCCCAGTAGTTTGGGAGGCTGAGGCAGGAGGATTGCTTGAGTGAGGAGTTCAAGACCAGCCTGGGTGACATGGCAAAACCCCATCTCTACGAACAATACACACACTAGCCATGGTGGCACATGCCTATGGTCCCAGCTCCATGGGAGGCTGAGGTGAGAGGATTGCTTTAGTCCAGGAAGCAGAGGATGCAATGAGCTGTAATTGAGCCACACTGCACTTTAGCCTGGGTGACAGAGCAAGACCCTGTCTCAAAAAAAAAAAAAAAAAAAAAAAAAATGCCTACTGGAACTTGTTGCCAGCAGACCTCCACAAGAAATGCTGAAGTTGTTCAGGCAGGAGGCAAATGATTTAAAATGGAAACTTAGATCTTCACAAAAAATTGAGAAGTGCTAGAAATGGTAAAAGTGGAGCAAAAATAAGACACTTTTTTTCTTTTTTAATCTCCTTAAAACAGTTGTATTGAAGGTGAGTGCTAACAGGTATGAGATTTCCCTTTTTGCACGATGGACATGTTCTGCAGTTAGAGGCGATGGCTGCACAGCATTGGAAGTAAAGAAACGGTAGCTGCAAAAATGATCATGCAATTTAAGTTTTACAACACATGGGAGTAAGAGGTATGACAATAGCACAAAGAATGGACGGGGTGGGAGGGTGTAAGGAACCTTAGTAAGGACTGATCGGTTGATTGATTGGTTTATGAGACAGTATCGCTTTGTTTCCCAGGCTGGAATGTGGTGGCACAATCCCTGCTCACGGCAACCTCTGCTTCCTGGGTTCAACAATTCTGCCTCAGCCTCCCCAAGTAGCTAGGATTTCAGGTATGCACCACACCAAGCTAATTTTTGTGTTTTTTTTATTTATTTTTTATTTTTTGAGACGGAGTTTCACTCTTGTTACCCAGGCTGGAGTGCAATGGCGCAATCTCGGCTCACCACAACCTCCGCCCCCTGGGTTCAGGCAATTCTCCTGCCTCAGCCTCCTGAGTAGCTGGGATTACAGGCACGCGCCACCGTGCCCAGCTAATTTTTTGTAATTTTTAGTAGAGACGGGGTTTCACCATGTTGACCAGGATGATCTCGATCTGTTGACCTCGTGATCCACCCGCCTCAGCCTCCCAAAGTGCTGGGATTACAGGCTTGAGCCACCGCGCCCGGCCCAATTTTTGTGTTTTTAGTAGAGATGAAGTTTCACCCTGAGGCTGGTCTCAAATTCCTGACCCCAAGCGATCAGCCTTCCACAGCCTCCCAAAGTGCTGGGATTGCAGGCCTGAGTTACCATGCCTGGCAGAAGCATTAGTAAGGTTCTTAAGCTGTACACGAAGTGGAATTGTCAAATTTACATCTAGAAAATTAAAAGTTTATGTTCCCACTGCAAATGTGTGGGAGTGCCAGTTTAACCATATCTTTGTCACATGTGATATTCATTTAAAAACATGGCCACCCAGATTTTTTAAAAACTTGATACCCCAGATAGCCAATCCTTACCATGCTTGAAGGGTATTACTTTGTTTCTGAAGTCTTTGAAATTCTATCAGAATCTCTTTGCCTGAAATTTGGCTAAAACATAGAATGTATATATTCATTGTTCCTTCCTTCTCTTGCCCTCTCTTCATAAGCATAGTTTGCTTCAGTCACTGCTTCAGCTTCATTTGTTGTAGAATGTGAATATTTTGAAGACACGTTCCATGTCTCTCTTATTCTCTATTGTATCGTGGCTGTAGTACACTAGATACTTGATGCTCAGTACATTTGTCCAAAAATGCTGTTTTCTTTCTATACTGGTAAGGTTGATCTGTGTATTTCTTTTCTTTTTTTTTTGGAGACGGAATCTTGCTCTGTCACCCAGGCTGGAGTGCAGTGGCACAGTCGACTCACTGCAGCCTCTGCCTCCCAGGTTCAAGTGATTCTTCTGCCTCAGCCTACCTAGTAGCTGGGATTACAGGTATTCACCACCATGCCCAGCTAGTTATTTGTATCTTCTTTTTTTTTTTTTTGAGACGGAGTTTCGCTCTTGTGACCCAGGCTGGAGTGCAATGGCGCGATCTCGGCTCACCGCAACCATCACCTCCTGGGTTCAGGCAATTCTCCTGCCTCAGCCTCCTGAGTAGCTGGGATTACAGGCATGCGCCACCATGCCCAGCTAATTTTTTGTATTTTTAGTAGAGACGGGGTTTCACCATGTTGACCAGGATGGTCTCGATCTCTTGACCTCGTGATCCACCCGCCTCGGCCTCCCAAAGTGCTGGGATTACAGGCTTGAGCCACCGCGCCCGGCCAGTTTTTTGTATCTTTAGTAGAGACGGGGTTTCACCATGTTGACCAGGATGGTCTTGATCTCTTGACCTCGTGATCCACCCGCCTCGGCCTCCCAAAGTGCTCTGATTACAGGCTTGAGCCACCGCGCCCAGCCAGTTTTTTGTATCTTTAGTAGAGACAGGGTTTCACTATGTTGCCCAAGCTAGTCTCGAACTCCTGACTTTGTGATCTGCTCATCTCAGTCTCCCAAAGTGCTAAGATTACAAGTGTGAGGCACCGTGCTCAACCCAATCTGTATATTTCTAACATTTTTTCTTTCATCTTGGTCTATTTTGTCCTTTTGAGTTGTGGGATAACTCATTAACTGATTTTTTTTATGTTACTAATTTTTGTTTGGTAATATTTCATCTGCTACTTACTGCTTCTTTTGCTGTTTTAAATTTTGCAAACCATGCTTTTCATCTCTGAAATCTTTCCTCAGATTATTCTAATTTCATTTTTAAAGACGTAAAATTTACTCAAACCTTGCGTTTTATTTTCTTCAACTTATACCAGATACTGTGAGACTGTCAAGCTTTTAAATCTGTTTTTCAGCTCTAGGGCATTTAAACTTCAATATTCGTGTGTTTAAAACCCGTTAGGACTAGGAAATAAAAGAGAATGGAGTACCCATTTCTTCCTTCAATCCAGCCACCTCAGCACACAATTAAAATGTGGTATTGGGGCTGGACACAGTGGCTCACGCCTGTCATACCAGCACTTTGGGAGGCTGAGATAGGTGCATCCTGTGAGCCCAGAAGTTTGAGACCAGGCTGGGCAACATGGTGAAACCCCATCTATACAAAAAAGTAGCCACACATGGTGGCTGGTACCTGTGGCCCCAATATTCGGGAGGCTGAGGTGAGAGCATTGCTTGAGCTCAGGAGGTTGAGGTTGCAGTGAGCTGTAATTGTACTCCAGCCTGGGTGACAGAGCAAGACCCTGTCTCAAAAAAAAAAAAAAAATGAAATTTTTATTAGTATAAACTTAGGTATAAGAGTTTCATTTGCAAAGATTACCATTTGGGAGTAATCTCTAGACATTTTTCATTTCCTAGACTATTTTGTTAGACCCCCAAAGGTGGAGAACTGGTTCAGGAAAATAAGCAGAGCTTGAATACACGCTGCCATTTTTGAGAGGAACACGAATTCAGAACTTGAAAGAACTGGAGTTACTCCTTTTTTGTTTTAAATAATACAGAACGCTTCACGAATTTGCATGTCATCCTTGCGCAGGGGCCACGCTCGTGTCTGTATCATTCCGATTTTAGTATGTGTGCTGCCGAAGCGAGCACAGAATTGGAGTTCTTTCTTTCCTGGATTACACGTTGGAGTTTGGCCCTCGGGACAAAAATGAATGTGAGTTCCTCTTCTCTAGGAGTCCAGTCTAATGCTAGACATACACGGTAACAAGCACAGTCAGTGCGACAGGAATCGGTCATGTGAAAGTAAAGGAGAAGAGATACAGAATTCATGTTGATGTTTTCCACTGAGGGGCCAGCATGGGTTTTATGCACAATGGAGGACATTTGAGATTGCATTTTGGGATTGTAGGAGACTGTAACCTGGGATGGGTAAAAAAAATTACGAAGCAATGCTTACGCTCAGGTTGGAAACCTTGAATTTGTGCTGGTGCTAATTATGGTTTTTTCCTGGTAGGATTTACTGCCCATATACAGGGTGGAAAAGGAAACTAGTGCATTTACTCAAAACAGTTGATTTGAAGGAAAATGGGACTGAGCAAAGTAGTGCTTTATAATCAGCCCCAGTTTTCGGGATGAGACTGCTAGAGACTCATCACTTTTCACATTCTGATGTGAAATTGATCACTGAAACCTAAAGTAAAAATAGAGGTTTTTGGCCAGGCGCGGTGGCTCATTTCTGTAACCCCAGCACTTTGGGAGGCTGAGGGGGGTGGATCACTTGAGATCAGGAGTTCAAGACTAGCCTGCTTACCAACAGTGTGAAACCCCATCTCTACTAAAAATACAAAAATTAGCCCAGTGTCCCGGCTTATGCTTGTAATCCCAGCTACGTGGGAGGCCAAAGCAGGAGGATCACTTGAACCCAGGAGATGGAGGTTGCAGTGAGCCAAGATCACACCACTGCACTCCAGCCTGGGAGACAGAGCAAGACTCAGTCCCCACCCCCCCCCCCCCAAAAAATAATAATACTGGTGTGTTTCAGCCCGTTGCACTTACTCTCCTTGTCCAAGCTCAAATTGACCCCTTTTTAGCCTGCAGTGCCACTTCTGCTTGGCTCTTGGGCCTTCTAACAATCCCGTTTATACTTAGTTTCCTTGTTGTCCAGGGTGACACAATGTTCTTGGCTAATCTTGTGTATGTGCTGCCTAGCAACTTTTCCAAGAAAAATGTGAATGTTTAAAAAGAAAACAAAGTTTCAGTGCCCCAGTCACACCCCAAACCAGCTTAATCAGAATCCCTGGTGATGATAAGGCCCAGATACAGACAGGGTCCTCAGAGTGGAGTGCAGTGGTAAGATCTCAGCTCACTGCAACCTCTGCCTCCTGGGTTCAAGTGATTCTCCTGCCTCAGCCTCCTGAGTAGCTGGGACTACGGTTGTGAGCCACCACTCTAATTTTTGCATTTTTAGTAGAAACAGGATTTTGCCATGTTGGCCAGGCTGGTCTCCAACTCCTGGCCTCAAGTGATCCGCCTGCCTTCGCCTCCCAAAGTGCTGGGATTACAGGCATGAACCACGACACCCCGCCAGGATACAGTATTTTTTAAAAAGTATGCCCAGCCTTGGATGGAAAACCACTTGAGGAGAGTATGCTGCCTTATCGGGCTCTGTAAACACCTTATCTCTGCACGAGGCTGGGACTTTGAGTGCAGTCCTTGGCTAAAGCTCCCCTTGCTACATGGTGACCTGGCTTCCTCTCCTGCTTAAAGCTTGTCTTTCAGAATTTTGACCTGAATCCATCTGTGTTGAAAGCCATCCCAGGATTCTGTGTCAGTCCCTTTCCTTGCCTGTATGTTGAGTTGGGGCTCATCTTCGTGCCTCTGGGAAATAAGTTATTTGATAGCTTGCTTTGAGTCTCTTAGTACTTTCCCTTGCCTTTAGAAGGAATACCACAATATGTGGCCTGCAGTGTAGACTGCTCAGGCCCCCTCTTGGTTCCTGGAGTGTGCCATGCTTTGTGCTACCACCGGGCCTTTGCACATACTGCTGTCTGCTGGAATGCCTTGCCTTTCCTCGTTAGTTCTCCTCTACTCGTCTTTCAGTTGCTAGCTTGACAGTTTTCCTCAGGTAGCCTTCTCTGACCTTCGTACACCGGATCAGCCCCCATGCGCTAACTTTGTCTCATCGGTAATATTTCTCTACCTTCAGGACACACAGCAAGGCCCAGAAGTCACAGTTTTGTATTTGTTCATGTGATCATTTGATGCATATCTCTCCTGAGTCTGACTCTTCGGGGTCGCACATCCTATCTCCACCACTTCTAGCTGTGGGAACCTTGAACAAATTATTTCTTCTCTGGTCCCCAATTTTTTATCTGCGAACAGAGATAATACTTTGGCCTACCTTGTGAGGTGGGGATGAAGATTAAACAGGGTAATTGGTGTAAAGCACTTAGAGCTAGCTATTGACAGGAGAGAACGCTGGCAGGTATTACCGATGACTACTGCCGTGGACCACAAGCTCCATACGGGCTGGGTCATTTCGGTCTGTTTAGATTTGTATGCAGGGTGCGGAGCACATGGATGGTGCTCAGGAAGTATTTGTTGGATGAATGAATGAAGTGGAGATAGTAGTAATACCATGTTTATAGAATTCCATGAGGATATAAAATAATGCAAGTATATAACCTGTCGGTAGCATGTCTGGCTCATAGTAGGTGGTCAATGACTCAATGAGGAAAATGGGGACAATAGGAATACCAGCTTATGAGGCTGTTGTGGGGATCTAAGGTAACCCTGTAGTACCTTGTAGAGTGCCCAGCACATAGTAGGTGCTCAGAAAATATTTGTTGAATGAATGAGTGAAGTTTGGATGATGGCAACACTGGCTCCTAGGGTTGCTTTGGGGATAGAAGATAAGGCAGGTCGATAGCTTGTATTGTGGTTGCACCTGGTAGACACTGTTGAGTGAAACAGGAGAAACTGCTGTGAGTTTCTTTCTCCTGGTGCTTAAGAGAGAATCCTTTTGGGGTGCAGAATTACCATTCTGCACACTGGTCCTCTTGAAGGAAGAATGGGCAGCTGACTACTCCTTGCCAAGCTCTGGCCTGGATGAAAAGTTGGATCGTTCCTTTACCTATTCCTCCCTAACCTGTTCTTTCTTTCCACTAGAATCCTTGCCCAGAGTCCAGCGCCTCTGTCCTGTCCAGGATCAACTTCTGGTGGATCACAGGGTAAGGTTGGGCCCCCAAGACCTCAGGGAGGTGGTGGGGAATGAATGAATGAATGAATGAATGAACATGCTGAGCTGCCTCCTCGACTTCGCTCTCCTTTGCTCTTCTGAAGAGTTGTCTTGACGCTGCCTGTGCTGGTCATGTGACCTCAGAGACACCAACTCTGTCCTGCAAGTTTATCAGCTTGAATGTGATAAACACGTGAGCCAGGAGCAGCTTAAAGCTCTGCAGAAGGCGTGGCCTGGGACAGCCATACCCTGGACTGCACTTGCTTTAGCCTCAGATTTGGTTGTTGTTTAGTGTTTTATTTCCTGCCTAGGCATCATGTTCAGTATGACAGATTTGGGTTTTTAAAATATTAGGTATAGTTAGTACTGACATTGTTCCCCTTCCACTCTCTGTCTCACCGTAGGAAATGTGGGTTAAACCCACATGTGCAGATATGTAGTCAGGAAGCCCCCAGAGGCAGCCGCTGTCATCGTTTTAGCATGCCTCCTTCTGCTCTTCCTTCTGCTCTTTTTGAGCTGCAGTCTCGCTGTCTCCCAGGCTGGAGTGCAGTAGCACAATCTCAGCTCACTACAGCCACTGCCTCCTTGGTCTAAGCGCTTCTCCTGCCTCAGTCTCCCAGGTGGCTGGGATTACAGGCGTGCACCACCATGCCTGGCTAATTTTTGTATTTATAGTAGAGACAGGGTTTTGCCATGTTAGCCAGGCTTGTCTGGAACTCCTGACCTCAGCTGATCCACCCGCATCAGCCTCCCCAAGTGCTGGGATGACAGGTGTGAGTCCCCGTGCCCAGCCACCTTGTGCTTTTCTTTTTGTACATCTTTTTCTTTCCATTGTCAACATCTTATTGGGGATTATTTGAAGAATCTTTCACCCTAATATGCATCATCTTTTTGTGGTTTTTTTTTTTTTTTTTTTTTTTTTTTTGGAGACAGGCTTTTGCTCTGTCGCTGAGGCTGGAGTGCAGTGGCACAATTGTAGCTCATTGTTGTCTCGATCTACTGGGCTCAGATGATGCTCCTGCCTCAGCCTCCTGAGTAGCTGGGACTATAGGCACGCTCCACCATGCCCAGAAGGTTTTTTTTTTTTTTTTTTTTGGCAGAGACGGGGTTTCACCAGGTTGTCCAGGCTGGTCTCCTGGGCTCAAGTGATTCTTCTGCCTCAGTCTCCCAGAGTGCTGGGATTATAGGAATGAGCCACCATGCCTGATCTCATTGTCTTTATGAACTTTTTGTAAACATCTTTTTAAAAAATTAGATGTTTTAAATAATTTTTTCAAACTACTATTAAAAAGCATCACTGGGACAGTTGATGTAATTTCTATATGATGGTAATAACATTCATTCTTGTTTTGGAAAATTGTGCTCTAGTTACATAAGAGCATGTCCTTGTCCTGGATTGTAAGGGGATACGCTCCTAGTTTTTTGGGGGTAAAGAAATGTAGAGCCTACATATTAATTTTTTTTTTTTTTTTTGAGACAGAGTCTTGCTCTGTTGACCAGGCTGGAGTGCAGTGACTTGATCTGCAGCCTCTGCCTCCTGGGTTTAAGCGATTCTCTTGTCTCAGCCTCCTGAGTAGCTGGGATACAGGCATGCACCACCACGCTTGGCTAATATTTGTACTTTTAGTAGAGATGGGGTTTCACCATGTTGGCCAGGCTAGTCTCAAACCCCTGGACCTCAAGTGATCCATCCACTTCAGCCTCCCAAGGTGCTGGGATTACAGGTGTGAGCCACTGTGCTAGGCCTTTAACTGTTTGAATGGTTTAGAAAAAGATGATGTGTTTGCGTGTGTGTGTGTGTGTGTGTGTGTGTGAATAGATAGAGACAGAATGATACTGTAAACTTGGCAACATGTTAATTCATAGGGGTGAATTGACTGAATTCTTAGTATGATTTGAGTAATTTTTCTATAAGTTTGAAATTATTTTTAAAGAAAAAATGGAAGTGTTTAACTTTTTATTATAAAAGTATTCTTTTGAAGTCCCAGCTACTTGGGAGGCCAAGGTGAGTGGATTACCTGAAGTCAGGAGTTTGAGACCAGCCTGGCCCATGTGGTGAAACCCTTTCTTCACTAAAAATACAAAAGTTAGGCAGGCATGGTGGCAGGTGCCTGTAATCCCAGCCACTTGGGAGGTTGAGGCAGGAGAATCACTTGAATCAGGAGGCAGAGGTTACAGTGAGCCAAGATCCCACCACTGTACTCCAGCCTGGGTAGAGTCACATAGAAAGACTAATATAATAAAACACAATAAGCTTATCACCCAGATGTCACAATTGCTAATGCTTTGTCATGTCAGCCTTTTTTCCCCTCCTCAACCTGTTTTCTTCTTCATCTTCGTCGTCTTCTTCGTCTTGTTATTCTTCTGTCTGGCTCTGTTGACCAGTCTGGATTGCACTAAAACAATCACGGCTCCCTACAGTCTCCACCTCCTGGCCGAGAGCAATCCTTTAAAGTCGCTGGGACTACAAGTCCTTTCAAGTCGTGTGAGCCATGATGACTGGGCAACTTTTTTACTTTTACTTTTTATAGAGATAGTCAACCTATGTTGTTCAGGCTGGTCTTGAACTCGTGGGCTCACAAAGTCCTCCCACCTTAGCCTCCCGGTGCTAGGATTATAGGCAACAGCTACTGGGCCTGGCCCATATTAGCCTTTTTCAGTGTAAAGTTTTTTAAAGTTGGCAGGGCATGGTGGCTCTTGGCTATAATCCCAACACTTTGTGAGGCCAAGGTGAAAGGATTGCTTGAGCCCGGGAGCTCAAGACCAGCTTGGGAAAGAGAGAGAGACTCTGTCTCTACAAAAAAAAAAAAAAATTAGTCATAATGGCTCACAATTGAAGTCCCAGCTACTTGGGAGGCTGAGGCGGGGGGATAGCTCTAGGCCAGGAACTGGAGCCTGCGGGGAGCCTTGATTGTGCCACTGTACTCCATCCTGAGTGACACGAGACTCACCAAATAAAGGACTGAGGCTAAGCATGGTGGCTCATGCCTGTAAATCCCAGCATTTTGGGAGGTCAAAGCAGGTGGATTGCCTGAGCTCAGGAGTTTGAGACCAGCCTGGGCAACACAGTGAAACCCCATCTCTACTAATATAAAAAATTAGCCAGGCATGGTAGCATGCGCCTGTAGTCCCAGATTTGAAGGCTGAAGCAGGAGAATTGCTTGAACCTGGGAGGCAGAAGTTGTAGTGAGCTGAGAACACGCTACTGCATTCCAACCTGGGAGACGTAGCGAGACTCCTCAAAACAACAAAATACAAAAAAAACCATAAATGAATGAATGATAAAAAAGAGTGAATTAGAGCCATCTTGATATTTCCCTCCTAATAATTTTTCCCTAAATCTTTTGTATGCAACCCCCAAAAGAAAGCCCTTTTATCCTGCATGACCCAACAGAATGAGCTGTAATAACCTTGTAATATGTGCAGATGTCTATCCACATTCAGACATCCCCAGCTGCGTGGCTCCCTTTGTTGTCAGCGGGCAGTTGTGCTGGAGAGGGACACAGCATCAGCATTCGTGTGGAGTGAGTGAGCCCCGTCCTCCTCCTCCTCCTCCTCATTGAGAGATACAGTCCCTGCTTTTATCCTTGCTTTCCTGCTGGGGTAGGCAGCCAGGATAACTCACTTTTATTCTTGTGCCTGTCCAGAGAAGACCACTCATTTCATTGACTCCATCCATAAATATTTTTTTAATTTTTTTAAATCAAACAAGTAAGTTTTACTGGTGTCTAAAAACAAAAATTCACCCAACATTGAAACATACTTCAAGATTTATATTATTGTTTTCTCTACGTTTTACTCACTGCAGTGTGAGGAACAAATCACAAACACTTTAGAGAAACAGAACATAGTGTAGATTTTACAGAATCCCTTTTTTAAATCTCTGTATTGTGTTCCCCCAACACCTAGAGCCAGTCTGTGCGTAAAAAATGACAGTGTTGTCTATACCCTTACAACTTGGCATCAGCCTAAAGATATGGGTAAGACATACTACTACTACTTCCTGTTTTGAAATTACCTATTGCCTTATCCAACCTAATGACAGTTCTCTAAAAAACTGTTTATTCTATAGGAAATCTCTGACGAGCTGTTATTCATTTCCTTGAGGTTAAAAAAATCTGAGGGCAACGTTTACATTTTGTTAGAAAACATTTTCAAAAGTTTACCTACTATGTTCATATTAAGAATATCTATGGCTGGGCGCCATGGCTCAGGCCTATAATCCCAGCACTTTAGGAGGTTAAGGTGGGTGGATCATGAGGTCAGGAGTCCAAGACCAGCCTGGCCAACATGGTGAAACCCCATTTCTACTAAAAATACAAAAATTAGCTGGGAATGGTGGCAGGCACCTGTAATCCCAGCTACTCGGGAGGCTGAGGCAGGAAAATCACCCGGCAGGTGGAGGTTGCAGTGAGCTGAGATCATGCCACTGCACTCCAGCCTGGTTAACAGTGAGACTGTTTCACGAAAGTCAGTCGAACAATTATTTTGAGAGAGGGGTGAACATGAACATCAGATTATTTCTGGCAGACAAAAGTGAACAAGTATGGTCTAGTCAGTCATTACCTGTTACAGAGATACAACAGCTCTACAGAGGGTATCGCTGACCTACTGAGAGATGATGATCCCTGTTTCTGTGCCTTCTACCACTGGTTCACCTTCTGTATCAGCAGCTGTCACTCTTGTTATGTCTGTATTTGTTGAGCTCCTACTATGTGCTCTGAGCCCTGCAATACAGTGAACAATTCGAGCCTGTCCTCACTGAGTGGATGGTGCAGTGAGCATGGGAGACAGCATACACTCAAGTATATGAGCCCTGAAAGGGCTAGAGGCAGGCAGTGCTCTGAAGAAAGCAGCGTGGGAGGGGATAGAGGAATGCGGGGCTGAGAGAGCTCTACATACATCAGAGATCTGCAGGATGTGAGGAGGTCATATGGGGAAGAGCATTCCAGGATCAGCAAACCCCCAGTGCTGAGGCCTGGGAGGCCTCCTTGGGCAGCAGGGTAAGAGGGAGGGGAGGTTGGGGAGTCACAGCTTTCTAGGATGGACTGGGAATTCCTTACTCTCTCCCTCTCGTGATCAAAGGCACCCTGGCAAATCCAGGAAACAGCTCTGCCCAGCAGCTGGCTCCAGGTGGGCTGAGTGGAATTCTGGAACTCCTGCCCATGCTACCGAGAAGACCTGGATTTTCTCAGGCACACCAGCGTCAACACCAATGGGGGAGAAAAGGTGGGTACACATCCCCCCCCCGCAATCCCAGTCGGGCACAGGGTGCCACCAGGTGGATGAAGCTAGCTGCAGCATCTGCCCTGTCACTCACAGCTCCACACCACCGCTTGAATGGCTGTTGCAGCAGTTCAGAGTGGATTGTGGCAGTAAAAGTTAGAGTGCATCCAACTTGTAGAAGTGAAAGCTTTAGGTGAACTGATAGTCTGAAGACCAAACGAGCCCCAAGATATGTTCTGGAATTTTTTTTTTTTTTTTTGAGACAGGGTGTCACTCTGTTGCCCAGGCTAGAGTGCAGTGCTGTGATCTCAGCCCACTGCAACCACAGCTTCCCAAGTAGAGGGACTATAAGTGGTTGCGACTACAGGCATGTGCCACTATGTCCAGCTCATTTTTGTATTTTTCATACAGATGGGAGGGATCTCACTATGTTGCCCAGACTGGTCTGGAACTCTTAAGGTCAAGCTATCTGCCCGCCTCAGACTCCCAAAGTGCTGGGATTACAGGAGTCAGCCAGCATGTCTGACCCCTGGAAGAAGTCTATTTTTTGTTTTTTGTTTTTTTTGTGGGGTGGGGGGGCTTAGACAGTTTTACTCTGGCATGAACTCAGCTCACTGCAACCTCCATCCCCTGGGTTCAAGTGGTTCTCCTGCCTCAGTCTCCTGAGTAACTGGGACTATAGGTACATACCACCACGCCTGGCTAATTTTTGTATTTTTAGTAGAGATAGTTTCAACATGTCGGCCAGGCTGGTTTCAAACTCCTGACTCAGGTGATCCACCTGCTTCGGCCTCCCAAAGTGCTGGGATTAAAGGCATGAGCCACACTGTGCCTGGCCCTTGGTAAGTCTTTATGGCTTATGTCATGAGAATTTTTGCATGCATGCTGCTCTGTGATACACCTGTAGGAGGGTAGAGGAAGCCCATCTCTCAAGAGACCAGGGAGAACTGGAGATGAAGCATGTTGTTATTGGCCATTAGCTGGAGAACCTAGTTCCTTCAGAGGAGGATGTGTGGAGACCAGGTCATGGCAACTGGCACAGAAGAGCTGCTTGACTCTCTGACGTATTTCAACAGCTCGTGATGGGAAACTCACCCTCGGAGGTATGAAAAACAGCTTGGAGAAATGAGGAAACGCCTAATGATTAGTTAATAGTTACTGAGTCGAAACAAATAGGGCTTTGTTGGAAATTCCGTCTGCCTCTTGTGTTTCTCTTTTGAGGTCTCTAGTAACCTTTAAACTGAAGAATTCCTTTTGGGAGCCTGGCAAAGGGAAGAGAATCCTTCTTGACCTCTGGCCAAAACACCCTTAAAGGAATGTCTCTGGGCAGTGGGTGAGGGAGGGGGTGTGGAGTTGGGTTGACCAGATGACTGATGCCTGAGGTAGGGCAGAAATAAGGGCACTGTGGGGTAGGGACAAGTCCAGATGCCAGCATTCCCTTCTATCCTGCAGGTTGGCATCGTGGGGCAGATGATGGCAGACAGGAGCTGGGACGTCGTCCCTGACCCTGGGCATCTTTCGGATCAACGAGTCTGCCAAAAGGAGTGATCACTGTTGACATCAACATCGCCAAGATGGGCCTGCATAACCTCCACTTCAAGATCACCATCATCCCCAGGTGGGGTCTGGGTGCCACAAAGGGGGTGAGCCAGGGGTGGCATGCACTATGACTGCACTAACAGTGATGTATGTTTAGTTTGGGGACAAACACGTGTGGCCCTATTTTTTTTTTTTTTTTTCTGAAATCGTGTCCATGCACTCTGTTCACTGCAACCTCCACCTTCCGGGCTCAAGTGATTCTCCCACCCCAGCCTTCTGAGTAGCTGGGACATGCAACCACATCCAGGTTTTTTGTTTTGTTTTTTGTATTTTTTTGTGGAGATGGGTTTCACCATGTTGCCCAGGCTGCTCAAACTCCTGGGCTCAAACGATCCGCCCACCTTGGCCTCCCAAAGTGCTGGGATTACAGGCCTAAGACCGCACCCGGCTTTCATTATTTTGATTAGGATATGCTGCTGCTTCTCTGAATTTCCTGTTAGCACATGATTAACAATGTGGAAAATCACTGAGTATCACTTCCGACTTCCTGTCAGTGGTAGTTTTCTGAGCATCTAGAAAAATCCAAAAAGACATGGTCTTCTCTCTGCTGTCAGAGTCAGACTGAGAATCTTTACCCCTTCTAAGAGCTAGACAGGATAAGAATGTTTTGAATTTTAGGTCACGGACTGCACGTGCAGGCCTGTTACATAGACCCTTGGGCGCCTATGGGTCTCATCACCCAAACACTGAACAGGGTGCCTGATAGATTCCCCTTCTCCATCTCTCCTTACTTCTGGATGCTCTGGTTCTGTTGTTCCCATCTTTACATCCATGAGTACCCAGAGTTCAGTTCTCATTTAAAAGTGAGAACACACAGTATTTGGCAATAAAAAATTGTTTTTGTTTTGTTTTGTTTTTTTTTTGACACACAGTCTCACTCTCTCCCAGGATGGAGTGAAGTGGTGTGATCTCAGCTCACTGCAATCTCTGCCTTCTGGGTTCAAGTGATTTTCCAGCCTCAGCCTCCCAAGTAGCTGGGATTACATGTGTACACCACCATGCCTAGCTAGTTTTGTATTTGTAGTAGAGACAAGGTTTCACCATGTTACACATGCTGGTTCTCAAACTGCTGACCTCAAGTGATCTTCCTGCCTCAGCCTCCCACAGTGCTGGGATTACAGGGGTAAGCCAACATGCCTGACCAAAATAAGGATTTTCTAGATCAATGCCTGCAGGTGGATTCCTTAATGTGTTGCCTTCTAGTGTAATCTTCCCTAAAGTTCCGTAGAAGATTCTCTTTTGGAGGACAGAAATCCACAGGACTTTACCTTTAGGATTTACCTCTCACTTCTGGAAGTTTCTCAACCCATATGCATACTGACGGCTCTAGGAAGTTCTATGGAAAGGAAATCCATCTTACTCTGTCACACTAAGATTTTCCAGACTTTTTTTTTCCATTATTAAGGAATTTATTTTGGCAGGGGGACAGTCTTGCTCTGTCACCCAGACTGGAGTGCAGTGGCCTGATTTCTGCTCACTGCACCCTCCGCCTCCTGTATTCAAGTGATTCTCCTGCCTCAGCCTCCCAAGTAGCTGGGACTTAGAGGTATATGCCAGCATGCCCAGGTAATTTTTATATTTTTAGTAGAGACTGGGTTTTGCCATGTTGGCCAGGCTGGTCTTGAACTCCTGACCTAAAGTGAAGTGCCCACCTCAGCCTCCCAAAGTGCTGGGATTACAGGCATGAGCCACTGTACCTGGCCTTTTTCTTGCTATTAACATCACCAGAAACTGATTCCAAGGAGCTCTGAAACCCCACCTTCACCAGTCCTGGCCAGAAGTCTTTAGTCTCACCTCTTCTCTGTCCATGTCATTGTGACGTAGGCATCACATGCTGCCACTCTCTCTGAACAGGACCCTGTTTTGTTTTCGGGTTCCTTCTGCATGAACCTGAACCCGTTCAGCTAGTACTTGATGGTCTGGATGTCCCTGAAGCTGGCTCACCTGAAGGACTTCATGTCAGCCCTTCCTGATAAGCTGGACCACGAGTGCCCAGAAGGTGGAGAGAACCTCAGGTAGGTGGGAGTAGACTGAGGAAGGGCTTCATCTGGGTAGGGGTGTTTGAAGATTCTGTCCAGATGTGTCAGACCTGGATCTGAGTCCCAGTTGTGCTGCAGATGACCCATTTGTCCCTTCACCCCCAGAAACCTGGAGCCTCAGTTTCTGTATCTGTAAAATGAGTCTTAATCCAGGCTTTTTGTACCATGAGGTATAATAACCAGGATGAACAATGCATTTCCTTTTATATGCACCAGCCCCGTTCAGTTGACGTGGCTATCAGCTGTTAAGCTATAGAAAGGCTTCTGTACCAGTTGGTCACTAGCACTGGTCTGAGCCCCCCTAGTCCCCAGCTGTCTTGGTCCTTCTCCCAGGATACTCGAGATCTGTCCATGACCCAGCAACTAGGGCATTAATGCCTAGCAGGGGAACCTCTGGCATCCTACTCTGGTATTGTCAGTGCCTGGTTCTGGTTTGATTATACGCCCCATGACAACCAACCACAAAGTCTCAGTCACATTCAACAATAAAGCAGTGATCTTTGCTCCCTGGTGAGGGCAGTCAGGCAGGTGGCTCTGCTGATCTTGGCTGGACTCACATCATGTCTCAGGATCAGCTGGCTGTCAGCTGATCTGCTTGGCCTCAGGTGGGGCAAGAAGGGTATGTGTGCATTCCTCATTCTCCAGCAGACCAGCTTGGGCATGTTGTCATGGCGACGACAGGGTCACAAGAGCATACAAATTGCCATGTGCATCTCGCAGTATTCCTTTGGCTGGCGTCCCATTGGCCAAAACAAGGTACCTGAGTGATAGACCCATAGTTGGATAAGGATGGATGACTATGAGGCCTCTTTTTATTTTTGAGGCAGGGTCTCACTCTGTCACTCAGGCTGGAGTGCAGTGGCACAATCTCAGCTGCAACCTCCACCCCCAGGCTCAAGTAGCTGGGACTGCAGGCACATGCAATCACACCTGGCTACTTACTTGTTTTTAGTAGCAACAGGGTTTCACTGTGTTAGCCAGGATGGTCTTGATCTCCTGACCACATGATCCGCACCCATCAACCTCCCAGAGTGCTCAGATTACAGGCATTAGCCACCGTACCTGGCATTATTTATTTATTTTTTAGGGCAGGGTCTTGTTCATTGCCCATGTCACCCAGGCTGGAGTACACTGTCACAATCATGGCTCACTGCAGCCTTGAACTCCTAGGCTCAAGTAACCTCCCCACCTCAGCCTCCCAAACAGCGGGGACTAGGGTTTTATACCACCATGCCTTGTTAATTTTCGTATTTTTGAAGAGATGGAGTCTCGTTATATTGCCCAGGCTGATCTCAAACTCCTGGCCTCCAGCGATCCTCCCTCCCTAGCCTTCCGAAATGCTTGAATTACAGATGTGAGCCACCACACCCATCCAGAAGGGTTATCTTGAACACCCACCATGGGTCAGGCATGCATCTATGCTCATATAAGGAAATTGAGGCACAGAGAGGTTCAGCCACTGGTTTAGGATCCTACTCCTACAAATCTGCAGTTCTATGCACAGTTGCAGCCTGACAAGACTGTTGAAACATCAATCTAATCATATTTTATCACTTGCCTGTCCATAGCTATCTCTTGCTCTTAAAGGAAATTCCAGCCAGGCAGGAGACTCACACCTGTAATCTCAGCACTTTGGGAGGCTGAGGTGGGTGGATCACCTAAGGTCAGGAGTTTGAGACCACCCTGGACCGAGGTGAAACCTCATCTCTATTAAAAATACAAAAATCAGCCAGGCATGGTGGCGGGTGCCTGTAATCCCAGCTACTTGGGAGGCTGAGGCAGGAGAATTACCTGAATTTGAGAGACAGAGGTTGCAGCGAGCTGAGATTGCGCCATTGCACTGCACCCCGGGTGACAAGAGTAAACCTGCATCTCAAAACAAAAAAACCTAAATTCCAAAAATTCTTATCTTGCCCCCACTCATTACCTGCCAGCCTCATGGGACCCCTTTCTCTGGCACCCTAAACCACTTACCACTTTAGAGCCATTGTGCCTGCTGCTTCCTCTGCCTGGAGCACTCTTTCTCTTGCTCCGATTAGTTCCTTGACACATTCTTTGGGGAAGCTCACATGTCACTTCTCAGAGCATCCTATCCATACCAACCGTGACCCTCAGTTGGTCTCCATTTCATCATTTTTTAAGAGGCAGGGTCTCACTCTGTCACCCAGGCTGGATTGCAGTGGTATGATCATAATTCACTTTACCCTTGAACTCTTGGCCTCAAGCAATCCTCCTGCCTCAGCCTCCCAAAGTGTTGGGATTACAGGCGTGAGCCACTGCTCTTGATCATTCTCCAATTTTTTTTTTTTTTTTTTGAGATGGAATCTCACACTATCACACAGGCTGGTGTACAATGGCACAATCTTGGCTCACTGCAGCCTTCACCTCCTGGGTTCAAACAATTCTCCTGCCTCAGCCTCCTGAGTAGCTGGGATTATAGGCACCCACCAACATGCCCAGCTAATTTTTTTTGTATTTTTAGTAGAGATGGAGTTTCGCTATGTTGTCCAGGCTGGTCTCAAAATGCTGACTTCATGAACCACCCACCTCGGCCTGCCAAAGTGCGGGGATTACAGGCGTGAGCCACCGCACCTGGCCCATTCTTACTTTATAGCACTTAACTGTTACCAGAGACCGCCTGCTTTTTAGCCTGCTGGGATAATTATTGTCTATCCTCACTAGCATCCAGTCTCCACCAGACTTAGCCTGGCACACAGTGGACATTATGTGTGTGGTTGCCAGGTGGATGAATAAATGGGTAGGTGTGTGGATGAATGGATGGAAAGATCAAAGAATGGATGAACAGCTAAACAGATGTGTAGGTGAGGGAATGGCTGCTATGTATTGTTGGATAAAGGAGTAGGTGGGAGAATGGACGGGATGAATGGGTAAATGAGTGGGTGGGTGGATGAACATCTAGGTGGATGATGGGATGGATAAGTAGGTGGGTGGAGGTACGTAGCAGTATAGAACAGGAGAAACACTACAAGCTTCAGAGTTAGACTGGCCTAGATTTGAGTCCCAGGCTAGCTATGAGGACACAGAGAAGTCTTTTAACTTGGCTGCAAGTGAGCTGTGATTACATCACTGCAGTCCAGGCTGGGTAATGAGCCACTCTCTCAAAAATAAATTGTAAAAGACTTTTTATGTATGTCTGAAATAGAGCTATTGTATCTATTTTTAGTGTGGTTGTGAGGATTAAGAAAACGAAGGTCTAGAATGGTGCTCAAGAAAGGTGAGTATCACCACTGCCAACTGCTTCATCTGGCGGGAGGACTTGGGCTGCTGGGGGTGGCAGCAGTGGGTGGGCCAAGCAGGTGCTTACCCTGCCATATTGCATGCTGTCCTGTCATGGTCATCTAGAGGAACCACTGGGCTAATGAAGTGGTGTGGTCCTTCTCAAGGACTGACTTGATGGACCTGTTTAGAGGAAATAAAGATGAAGTCAGTGTCTCTCCCAATGGTGGGTGCATGTGCCCAACCCTCAGGCCCACTGATAGCCACTGAGCTCAGGGTATACTCTCTAGTCATTCACTCGTTCCTTCTCCCTGTGTGGTACCCAGCTAAATGCCATCTATTACCCCAGTCAAGCAAGCCCATTCTTCTGATGCCATTTCACAGGATGAACGTAATTTGCCCACCACTGGAACTCTGTTGTCAAAATTTTACTTTCTTGAGACAGGGTTGTGCTATGTTGCCCAGGTTGTTCTCAAACTCCTGAGCTCAAGCAATCCACCCCTCAGCCTCCCAGAATGCTGGGATTACATGCATAAGCCGCTGCACCCATCCTGTTGTCAGAATTTCCATTTTGGCTTAAGCTTTGGTGCAATTGTTTTGCCCCTACTGTTTACCATCAGATTTGTTAGTCCAACTTGACAGAATACAAATTATGCACAATTCTGATGCTAAAAACTTTTTGAATGTCTTATCTGTGGATAAGTGAGCTGATTTAACCTCTGTCCCTTGGTTTCCTGGGCTGTAATAACAGCAGCAATATCTATCCATCTATCCATTTATCCATGTATATCTGTATATACTTGTCTACCTACCTGCTATGTAGTTTAGCCTAAAGCTGCCTCCTTACATATTTTAGGTTTGGCCTAAAGGTTTTCCCATGTAGTGAACTGTAAACTGGACTCCTACACAGACTGCAGCCTACTCATGTGTCAATCACTGAATTTCAGCCAATCAAAGGCAGCCAACTGTTTAAACCACATTCAAACAAAGCAAATGCTGAGCTGCAACCAATCTGGCTGTTTATGTACCTCACTTGTTTTCTGTCCATTCATCTTTGACCATGTGGCTATACTAGAGCCTCTTTGAACATATTCTGATTCAATGGTTGCATGATGTGCGGGTTATTTTTTACTCAACCTCTGTCAGCCAAGTGCTGTGACTCATGCCTGTAATCCCAGCCCTTTGGGAGGCCAAAGCAGGCAGATCCCCTGAGGTCAGGAGTTCGAGACCAGCCTGGTCAACAGGGCAAAACCCTGTCTCTACTAAAAATACAAAAATTAGCTGAGCCTGGCTGCACACACCTGTATGTAGCTCCATCTACTTTGAAGGCTGAGGCACAAGAATCTCTTGAACCCAGAAGGCAGAGGTTGCAGTGAGCCAATATCGTGCCACTGCACTCCAGCTTAAGGGGCAGAGAGAGATTCCATCTCAGAAACAAAACAACGAAAACAAAGCTTTAGACACATTAAATTTGACAGAGGTGGTTATTATTTTATGAGATGGAGTATTGCTTTGTCACCCAGGCCAGAGTGCAGTGGCACAATCTCTGCTCACTGCAACCTCCACTTCTCAAGTTCAAGCAATTCTCATGCCTCAGCCTCCTGAGTGGCTGGGACTATAGGCGTGCAACACCATGCCTGAATAATTTTTGTATTTTTAGTAGAGACAGTGTTTGGCCATGTTGGCCAGGCTGGTCTCAAACTCCTGATCTCAGGTGATTCACCTGCCTCTGCCTCCCACAGTGCTGGGATTACAGGCGTGAGCCACCATCCCCAGCCTTAAGGTATCTAAAGGTTTTCTTTGAACATGACTACCTATCCATCTGATCTTACTTCGAATTCTTGTGCACTGTGAAGACAGTGGGATTGGTCAGTGTGTGACTGAGAAGTGTCCTTAGGGTGGCTAGCTGGGACGGGATCAGCCCCAGTGATCCCCACGGGCGATTGCCACCTTGCACTCCTGCATTGAAGGCACTTAAGCTTGAACTACCTGGTAGCAGTGGCCTGTGGTTCTGCTTCCTAAGACCCTTCTCATTACGAGGGGAGAGTAGCAGGCAGCAGGTCCCTCTGCTCCAGACAGTGAGCTGAGAGAAGAGGGGACCGCAGGCCTCCTCCTGGCCTCTTCCCATGTATTCTGGCCAGCAAGAAGTGGTGCTGTGTGCATAGACCCAAGCCCTGTGCATAACCACCGTGCCAGGCCCTGTGACTGATGCTTTTTAACAGGTGGTTAACAACTATGAGGAGGATCTTTATTTGGAACCAGCCCTGCCCTACTGCAGCATTGAGACAACTCTAGCAAGCTGGCTCGGCCGCCTTGAAAACATCCATCATGCTGGAAGGCATTTGTTCATCCCACGAAATGGCCCTATGGGGACCTAATCACCTTGACCAACTGGACCAATTTTGGTGAATTATCCCTCAGCAGGGCATCATGGAGGAACTTCAGCAGGTGCTCCATCCCTAATGTTGTTGGTTGCCCCCCTAAGTGCCTGAGATGCAGGTAGTCCCCTCAGCTACATCAGCTTCAGCCTGTACCTTTCTGAGTGTGGCAGCATGGTGGACTCACCTCTCAGGTCTAAGCTGGGCCTCCTGCCTGTAGAGGAGTCTCTAGGGTCGGTCCTTGTGCTGGTCCCAGGCTCTGTTTCTGCAAGGTCAAGAGAGTCCTGTCACACAACACGGTCCAGATACTCACTTGGACACCCATTGACCATGTGGCCTTAACTGCTCTGACCTCCATTTTCCCTGTTCTGGCTCCTGCCACCTCTCCAGCAACCTCAACACCCCACTCTGAGTTCTTCCAGGAACATCATTCAGGCATTCACTCAACTCATTCATTTTTTCAGTCAGTGAATATAATTGAGCACCTGCTGTGAACCTATGTTGGAAAAACAGCAGTGAACACTGTTTCCTCCAACAGCCTTGCTCAAGCAGTTCCTTGGGTCTGGAATGCTCTTTTCTGGCTAACTCCCACTTACCCTCAGGTACCATCTCTCCCAGGAAGGACACCTCCCCACCACCATCCCCCAGATGTGCCAGTTACTGAAAGCAGAGCTGTAGAACTTTAACCACAGACCTGTAAGCAAGAAATGACTGCTCGTGTAAGCTGTTGGGAGTTGGTGGGGCCATATTTGTTAACCAGCATCATCGCAGCAAAAGCTGACCAATAAAAACAGGAAAGTTCTAGCTTCAAGCTTCATGACTGGGACACTGTGAATCAACCAGCCAGGGTGGGCCAATGCTAAGCAGATGTTCTCAGAAGAGACAAAGTTGGAGACTGAGGGAGACCTGGGTGTGAGTCCTTGCTTGTCATGCAGGGATAGTAAAAAGCCTAGTGACTGAAAAACACATTCTCTGGAATCAAGCTGTTTGGGTGCAAATCCCAGTGCTGCCACTTACAGGCCACGTAACCTGGGACTAGTTCCTTTACTTTGGGGCCTGTTATCTGTGAAATGGAAATGATTCAAGTCCCAGCCTCACGGGGCACTAAGTGGATTCAGTGAGCCGATACATGTGATGTGCTATGAGTTGCTACTCTGCAGTCTTTGTGGGTGAGCTTGGCTTGACAACTTTACTTCCAGAACCTTGTCATGTGTCCAGCGCATGTTTTGTTCTTTGGATTATTAGAAACTCTAGCTGGCATGTTGTAGCTTTCTAGGCACCAAAACCTGCTTGTGCTGTCTCCATAGCAACTGCAAGCATGGACTCTGGAGTTGGACACACTCAAGTTCTAATCTGGTGACCTTGGGCAACTGATTTAACTCTCTCGGCCCATCTGTAAAATGACAGCAGTAACTTCGCATGCCTCTGAGGGGACGGCGAGAATCAAATAAAACGGCGTCTTTCTTACAGAAGCACTTAGCTCAGCCCCTGGCTCGCAGACAGTGTTATTGGCTCTTCTTAGAGAGAGGGGACCTATTGGAGAGCCGTCTGCTTCTGGGCATAAGCCTGCAGGGAGGGTGTGACCAGAGCAATCCACTCTTGCCAGCAGGACCCTTCGAGCCTTTTTTCCCAAGGGTGGCAAGAGCCAGGCACAGAGCATCAGCAAAGCCCACCTGGTACCTCCTTCTCCTCTATCTCCTAGCTGTCTGGCTTGATCCAGAAGACTCATGAGGGTCCTCTTCTTGTGCAGAAGCTCCTGGTAGAAACCCATCTCTAATATGGCCCCATCTGCCAGCACCACGATCCAATCAGCCTGGGGCAGGATGTGGAGTGCATGGGTCACAAGAATCTGTCTGGGCAGGGAAGGGTTAAAAGTTAACACACACATGGCCACATTCCATGGCTCACGCCTGTAATCCCAGCACTTTGGGAGGCCAAGGCAGGTGGATCACTTGATGCCAGGAGTTCACGAGACCAGCCAGGTCGACAGGGCTAAGCCCTGTCTCTACTGAAAAGTACTAAAATGAGCTAGGTATGGAGGCACACACCTGTAGTCACAGCTACTTGGGAAACAGGCATGAGAATCACTTGAAACTGGGAGGCGGAGGCTGCAGTGAGCTGAAATTGCACCACTGCATTCCGTCCTAGGTGATGGAGCAAGACTCCATCAAAAAGAAGGGAGGGAGGGAGGAGACAGGGAGAAAGAGAAAGAGGGAGGGAGGGGAAGGGAAAGAGGAGGAAGGGAAGGGGAAAGAAAGAAAAGTTACACACATGTGCTTGGCCAGCCTCCTGCAGCAAGGGGTTGGGGTGGAAGTATTGTCCCTGGACTCAGAGTGGGGAGAGCTCCCCTTCTTGTGCTCCTGCCATCTTTCTTGAAAATATCATTTCCAAATAGAGAAACAGAGGGGACTCCTTCAGCCTGCCTCAAGAAGACAAGGAGTCCATCTGACCGAGGCCAATCATCCAAGGCAGAGCTGTAGTAGTTAAACCACAGATGCATAAGCAAGAAACAGATGCTGCTGTAAGCTGATGGAATCTGAGGGGTTGTTATGTAGCATCAGCACAGCAAAAGCTGAAAAATACAAAGAGGAAAATTGGACTCAGGTGAAAGGGGGCAGTGAGAGAAACCTGGGTTAGGACTGGATGCTAAGGGCATCCTCTGCCTTTGCCCTGTGCCCTCTGACACATGTTCCCAAACTTACTGTTCCCTGGAGTAGCACGCCAGGCCTGATGACCTGGTTGAAGACGTGCTGGCCAACGTGAACGTCCAGAGCCACCAGGGGATCATCCAGCAGGTACACAGCTGCCTTTCTGTACACAGCCCGGGTGAAGCTCGGCTGCTGCTTCTGGCTCCCTAGAGATTCATGCCCTGTGGCCACAAAAGGAACAGTGTCCTGAGTCTGCATCTACAGGGTGAAACTGGGGAGCCCAGGCAGGAGCAGGTTGGGGCACATCTGCCCATCAGGGTGAGGTGTAGCTCCCCGTGTCTCTCCCCTGAGACATGCTCGGCTTCAAAGGCACTCCCAAGCCGGCATCCCCTGCACCCTTACCAGCCTCACTTTTCCCCTTCCCAGCATGCTGCCTGGAGGAGTTACCTGCACTTCCCAAGCTACTCTGTCTCCTACTCACACTCTGTATCCATTTGAGGCCAACTTCTGTTCCCTTTCTCCACTGAGACCACCTAATGAAGACACCTTTCCTTTCTCTATTCTGTGATCCAGTGGTAACTTTTCAGTCCTACTTTTAAAACATTTTAAATTGTAATTGATTTAGTTATTCATATGTAATAGTTGTACCTATTTGAGGGGCACAGGTGATCATTTTGAGACCTGTAGAGCAGTGGTCCGCAACCTTTCTGGCACCAGGTATTGGTTTTGTAGAAGACAACTTTTCCATGGGCCCGGGGGCAGGGGGGTGGTTTCACGATGCTTTAAACACATTACATTTATTGTGCACTTCAATTCTATTATTCTTATCATATATTGAGATGGACTTTTGTGCTTGTGACCCAGGCTGGAGTGGAATGGCATGATCTTGGCTCAATGCAACCTCTGCCTGCTGCGTTCAAGCGATTCTCCTGCCTCAGCCTCCCGAGCAGCTGGGACTACAGGTGCCTGCCATCACACCTGGCTGAATTTTTAGATTTGTAGTAGAGATGGGGTTTCACCATGTTGGCGAGGCTGGTCTCGAACTCCTGACCTCAGGTTATCTGTCCATCTCACCCTCCCAAAGTGCTGGGATGGTAGGCATAAGCCATTGTGCCTAGCTGCTTCTATTACTATTACATTGTAAAACATAATGAAATACTTACACAACTCACCTTTAACGTAGAATCAGTGAGAGCCTCAGCTAGTTTTGCTGAAACCAGATAGTCCCTCAGGGGGCAATGGGAGACTGCAGTAGATCACCAGGCATTAGATTTGCATAAGAAGCATGTAGCTGCAGGGTGTGGTGGCTCATGCCTGTAATCCCAGCACTTTGGGAGGCAAAAGCGGGTGGGTCACAAGGTCAGGAGTTTGAGACCAGCCTGGCCAACATGGTGAAACCCCATTTCTACTAAAAGTACAAAAAAAAAAAAAAAGAGCCAGGCGTGGTGGCACCTGCCTGTAATCCTAGCTACTCAAGAGGCTGAGGTGGGAGGACTGCTTGAACTTGGGAGGTGGAAGTTGCAGTGAGCCGAGACTGCACAACTGCACTCCAGCCTGGGGAACACAGTAAGACTGTCTCAAGAAAAGGAGGAAAGGAGAAAAAGGGAAGGGGAGGGAAAAGGGAAAGGAAAAGCAGGTGTAAGAAGGGTGTAAGGTGCACTAGCATGAGCAGGGTTGCGGTGATGATGGTGGTGGTGGTGGTGGTGGATAAGTAATCAGGGAAGGCTTCTCTGTGAATGTGACAGAAGAGAGGGATGAGCCCTGGGGAGAGATTTCCAACACTGGGAACAGCAGGTGCAAAGGCCCTGGGGACACAGTGTGCTGCGGGGGATCAGGGAACATCACAGAGACTCTGGAGGCTGGAGTGAAGCCGGGAGATGACGATGGTAGATGGGGATGATGGATACTAGGGCAAGGTGACAGGGACCTTGCCAGGGACCGTCACGACTTGGGCTTTGACTCTGAGGGAAATGGAGAGATCACCCGAGGTCAGGAGTTTGAGACCAGCCTCGCCAACATGGTGAAATACAGTCTCTACTAAAAATACAAAAATTAGTCAGGTGTGGTAATAGCAGCTACTCAGGAGGCTGAGGCGTGAGAATTTCTTGAAGGTGGGAGGGGAGGTTGCAGTGAGCCAAGATTGTATCACAGAGTGAGACTCCCATCTCAAAAAACAAAACAAAACCACACAAGTGGAGGGCTGGGTTTGGCCTGGGGCCAGTTTGCCAGCTCCTGCCCAAGCCATAGCTCCTGTGCATGTATCCGTGTCCTGGACATCTCTGTTCAGACCCTTTGGTGAGACCCAGAGAGGGGAGGCAATTCGATCAATGTCACCCAGGAAGGCAGGGCAGAGGAAGACAGTCTAGTCTTCTCACTCTCAGTTGTCAGAGAGCCCCTCACTGCCAATCCCTACCACAACTCCTTCCCTCTCTGTGTCCATTTCTATTGATTAATGATTATTTATTGGGCACCTAGTATGTGCTTGACCCTGAGCTGAGCCCTTCTTCTCTCCCACTTCCCTGACCACTTCCTGCATTTCTCCATCATACTGCCCACGATGAGTCAGGGACCCAAATGACCCCCAAATGCAATGCCTCCCTGACCCAAATGACCCCCAAATGCAATGCCTCCCTGACCCAAAAGACCCCGAGACTCTCACCTGCTCCCCAGATGAAGTGTGGACTCCTGCAGGGACGCTGTCCACATCTGGCCATAGGGCACAGGCCTCTAGGACTCTCTCCATCCAGGCTTGGTCCAGCTCCTGCCTGAGGCACACATTCTCCACCACAGAGGTGTTCGGCATCCACCAGGCCTCCACCAAAAATTAAAACACAACTTACTTTGGTCATAGAAGGATGATGGGGACAAACATATGACAGGTTTTGAGGAGCAGTGGGAGCTCGGCTCTCGGTGGTGGGTGGGTGGGTGGTGGAGAGAATGAATGAAAGTGAACTTGGCTGGGATGGGGAGGGGTGGAAAGGCATCGAGGAAGATGCCTTCAGGATGATGGGGATATCCTAGCAGACAGGCAGGGGGTGGCATCACCTTCCTGCTCACAAACCCCTCCACCTTTGACAGCTCTCCAAAGAGGACAGACCGCAGGGAGGACTTCCCTCTCACCACTGGACCAACTGCTACCAGGAAACAGCCCTGGGGCACGGTGAGGTTTATTCTTTCAATGCAAGAAAGGAGACATGACCTTGGTTAGGGCCCAGCCTGTATCTTTGAGGAAGGGTGAGCATCAGATGGAACCGAGCTTTCCTGCTCTGGGAGTCTAAGAGCACCTGTGGGGCTGTTCTTTTCCCAGTCCTTGTCTGGCTATTTGAGCAACCATCCTGTGCATATCTGTGCATGTGCACACTCATACAAAGCATGCACACATGCATGCACATTTGCACACTCATACAAGCATGCTAGCGTGCACAGCAATATGGGCACACATCCGCACACAAGTGCATGTGCATACCCAAGCAATCCATGCTCACATGCATGGATGTGTGCACACACACACATGCACGCATGTCCACCCACAGAGTTGGCAGTAGCCTGAGGGTTTCACCAGCCTGTCTTCCTGCCTTGGCTCTTGCAATAAATAGGCTCTTTCCTCCCCTCCCTGCCCCTGCCTCCTCTTGGTCCCGCCCCACTCCTGTCCATGTCCCACAGCCCATCCTCCACCCTGTGATCAGAGGGATTTGTTAAAACCCAAGTCAGCAGTGGCTCACGCCTGTAATCCCAGTACTTTGGGAGGCCGTGGTGGGCGGATCACCTGAGGTTGTGTAAGTCCTAGACCAGCCTGACCAATATGGAGAAACTTCATCTCTACTAAAAATACAAAAATTAGCTGGGTGATTCCCAAGCAGTTCTCCTGCCTCAGCCTCCCAAGTAGCTGGGACTACAGGCATGGTGGCACATACCTGTAGTCCCAGCTACTTGGGAGGCTGAGGCAGGAGAACTGCTTGAACCAGGAGGTGGAGGTTAAAGTGAGGATCACACCACTTCACTCCAGCCTGGAACAGAGCGAGAGTCCATCTCAAAAAAACAAACAAAAACCCAAGTCAGCTCTTAACACTTCCCAGCTAAACCGTCAGTACTCCCATTTCACTCGGTCAAAGCTGAAGTCCTAATGACCATGAACGACGTCCCGGGTCCTTCCACTCTGCCTCAGCTGCTCTTTCTTGGCCACGCTGACCTCCTTGCTGTTTTCGGAACACAGTAAGTCAGTGGTTCTCAACTGGGGGTGACTGCATCCCGAAGAGTGATTTGGCAAGATCTAGAGATATTTTTGGACGTCAGAACTGGCAGGGAGTGCTGCTGGCATCTGGTGGGTACAGATGGGGTCTGCTAAACATCCCACGATGCACAGGACAGAACCCAACAGTGAAGTTTCAGCCCAAAATATCAACCATGCTAAGGTTAGAAAACCCAAGCCCAGGGACACTCCTGACCCAGGACCTTTGCATATGCCGTTCCCACTGCCTAGAAGGCTCCTCTCCCAGGCCAAGCACAGTGGCTCATGCCTGTAATCCCAGTCCTTTGGGAGCTGAGGCAGGTGGATGATCACTTGAGGTCAGGAGTTGGAGGCCAGCATGGCCAACATAGTGAAACCCCATCTCTACTAAAAACACAAAAATTAGCTGGGTGTGGTGGCGCACACCTGTACTCCCAGCTACTCGGGAGGCTGAGGCAGGAGAATCGCTTGAACCCAGGAGGTGGAAGTTGCGGTGAGCCGAGATCGTACCATTGCACCCCAGCCTGAGCAACAGAGCAAGACTCCATATCCCAAAAAAAAACCCTGCATGGCTCTCTCTTTCCTTATGATCTCGGCTTGAATGCCAAGCCTTCCCTCACTAGCCATGCCATCGTGCTCTGTCCCCCTGCCCTGGCCTCACCTCTAGCAGCACGTCACCCCAAGAGAGCAGGGCCCTTGTCTGTTTCTTTCACCCGATCCCCAGTACCTAGAACAAAGCATGGCCCATAGCAAGCGCTCCATCAATGAAGTGAGTGAATGACAACCAATACAAACACTGCCCATGACATATTCTCTCCCTTCTTACGGAGTTTCAGGGCTGGCTGAGATTTTTGGCCACAAAGACTAAGCCAGAGTTGGGGACTACAGGTAATGATGATCTGGGACTGATAAAGGTGGTACACAAGTGAGCAAAGCCAATGAGGCTGAACCATGGAGCTCCTCAGCCAGCCCCACCTAGGCAATGTCTTGGCCAGCCTGGGAGCAGAGGGGTGTCTCCCCCTAATGGGGGACACTCAGATGCCCTGGTGCAGGTCCCCACCTGCAGGAGGTGCAGGAGCATCCTGGGAACCTTCCTGGCAGAGCCCCAGCCCAACCTAACCCACCCTCCCATCCCAGGCTGGAAAGCTGCACCATACCCCTCAGGCAGAAAGCAGCAGGAGCCCCATGCAGGTTCTCCCTAAAAACATGAAGTTGGTTTCCATGGGTGTCATTCTTTACCTGTGGAGGCAGGGAGGGCTTTCCTGGAACCAGGCAAAGGTGGCACTGTGTATCGTGATGCAATCCTTCCTGGCAGCTGCGGGGAACAAGAGGCCAGTTACAGGCGCCCTGACCTGGCCAGCCTCTGCACTGGAGAGGCCAGGGGCAGAAGCTACAACAGGAAATCTCTCCCACTGAACAAACCATCCTCCTATTCGCTGGCCTGTGTGTGACCCTGCAGGGGTCTTGTTCTTTCCATGGCCCATGGTTAATAACCCAGGGGAAGGCAAACCATGGCCCAGAGGCCAAATCCTGCCTACTCTTCTCAATAAAGTTTTATTGGAACACAGCCAAATCCATTCATTTCTATATTTCATGTTTTGAGCAGTTGTGACAGAAACTATGTAGCCCACTAGCCTAAAATATGCACAATCTGGTCATGTATGAAACAGTTAGTGACCTTCTGATATAAATTATCATCTAATCCCAGTCTTCCCAGAGAGTGAAGAGGGTGTTATTAATTTCACTGTGGCCGGGTGTGGTGTCTCATGCCTGTAATCTCAGCACATTGGGAAGCTGAGGTGTGTGGATCACTTGAGGTCAGGAGTCAGACCAGCCTGGCCAATATGGCAAAATCTCATCTCTACCAAAAAGTATGAAAATTAGCGAGGTGTGGTGGCAGGTGCCTGTAGTCACAGCTACTGGAGAGGCTAAGGCAGAATGGCTTGAACCTGGGAGGTTGCAGTGAGCCAAGATTGCACCACTCACTGCACTCCAGCCTGGATGACAGAGCGAGACTCCGACTCAAATAATAGTAAATACTTATTAGAATATATGTTATATATTTACTTTTTTAACTATGTAACTATAATTATTATAATCAATAATAAATATTTCACTGTGACAAGTGTAATTAGATTAGTGGTTCTTGATCCTTAACACGTAGTTAGAATCTCCTGAAAGATCTTCTAAAATCAAAGCTCTCATGGCTCAGCCCAGATCCATTAAATCCATTCTCACAATCAGCTGCTGTGACGACTGACAGGCCCATTTTGCAGATGGAAACACGGAGGCTGAGAGAGATGATCTACTTGTCAGGATCGCCCAGCTAGTCAGTGCCGGGACTGGGATTTGGACCTGGGCGGTACAATGCCATCGGCTAGGCTTTTTACCACGAGGTGAGTGTTTTTCAGGTACACAGTTTGCCCAGGTTCTTCAGTACAACAAGGGGGAGGGTGGCTTGGTCTGTGGGGTGACAAAAGGATGGGGTGGAAGGGCAAGCCCAGGTAACGAGTCTGGGGAGTCTCATGGTGCAATGGTGCTTGCAGTGATGCTATTTCCTTTTTTTTTTTCTGAGATGGAATCTTGCTCTCCCAGGCTGGAGTGCAGTGGTATGATCTTGGCTTACTGTGATTTTCCTGCTTCAGCCTCCTGAATAGCTGGAATTACAGGCGCACGCTAAGACACCTGGCTAAAACTTGTATTTTAGGAGAGACAGGGTTTCACCATGCTGGCCAGGCTGATCTTAAACTCCTGACATCATGATCCGCCCACCTCTGCCTCCCAAAGTGCTGGGATTACAGGAATGAGCCACCATGCCTGGCTTGCAATGATGCTATTTTCTAGCTTGACCAAAATGTTGCCATGCTTATCTTGGACTTTCTGCATGAGAACAAGGACCCGGTCTGTTAGAGCAGGAGTCCCCAGTCCCCAGCAGACTGGTACCAGTCTGCAGCCTCTCAGGAACTGGACCATACAGCAGGAGGTGAGCAGAGGACAGGCAAGCATTATGTCACCTGTGTTTACAGCCCCTCCCCATCACCTGCATCACCGTTTGAGCTCCACCTCCTGTCAGATCAGCAGCGGCATTAGATTCATAGGAGCATGAACCCTACCGTGAACTGTGCATGTGAAGGATCTGGGCTGCATGCTCCCTATGAGTGTCTAATGTCTGATGATCTGTCACTGTCTCCCATCACCCCCAGATGGGACCATCCAGTTGCAGGAAGACAATCTGAAATATTATTTCATTACACATTACAGTATAATAATAATAAATGTATAATAATGTAATACGTTTAAATCATCCCAAGTCCGCACACCCCACCCTGGTCCACAGAAAAGCTGTCTTCCACAAAACCAGTCCCTAGTGCCAAAAAGCTTGCAGACGTGCGTTAGCATGTTTCCTGCTGTGCGCCCAGGATGGCACTAAGTGGGTGCTCAGTGAGTGGTTGCTAAACGGCTAACAGAAACAGCAGCACCATGTCTGTTTCCAGTGACACACAGATGGCGTGATCTGCATGTGCCAGTCCACTGCCTGCAGCCCCCATCTGCCCCCAGTGCTGATGCTGGCTTGCCATTATGGACCAGAGTGGCCCTCACGCCCCCATCCCTCCCACATCCCTCCTGCCAGACTCAGCACTCACAGCGTCCAGAGGGACTGAGTCCACTGTAACAAGCTCAACTGCTTCCAGGCAGAGGAAGGCGACCAGATGGTCAAAGGACACCCGGGCCTAGGGAAACCAAAGCCCCAAGTCATCCAGCGAGAACAGCAAAGAACTCAGGCTTTGGGTCTCGGTGTCTCAAGATGTGTGGCAACAGCTTCCTGTCTACCAAGTTCTGCATGTGTAAGGCGTGAGGACAAAGCTTTCCAGTCATGGGAAACAATGCACCCCGAGTGGTGACCTTGATGGTGGCGATCTCCCACCTCCAGGCTCCTACCAGTGAGCTGCCATTCCACAGACAAGATCCGGGAAGAGGATGGTGGCTTTTCCAATAAGGTTATTAAGCCATTATATGGAACAATTTCAAATGTTGTCCACCTGGGGGTGCCCTCTCCCAGTCACAAACCCATCTTTGGGGAAGAGACCAGTCCATAAAACAGAGATGAGGGGCTGGGCGTAGTGGCTCACGCCTGTAATCCCAACACTCTGAGAGGCCGAGGTGGGTGGATCGCCTGAGGTCAAGAGTTTGAGACCAGCCTGGCCAACATGGTGAAATCCCGTCTCTACTAAAAATACAAAAATTAGCCAGGCATGGTGGTGGGTGCCTGTAATTCCAGCTACTTGGGAGGCTGAGGCAGGAGAATTGCTTGAACCCAGCAGTCAGAGGTTGCAGTGAACAGAGATGGCACCACCTTGAGTGACAAGAGCAAGACTTCTTCTCAAACACACACACACACACACACACACACACACACAAGATTAGGCCAGGTGCAGCGGCTCATGCCTATAATCCCAGCACTATGGGAAGCTTGGGAAGCCAAGTACAAAGTGCAGGAGAATCACTTCAGGCCAGGAGTTCAAGACCTGAGCAACACAGCAAGGCTCTTGTCTCTACAAAAAAATTAAAAATTAGCCTGATGTGATGGCCCATGCCTGTAGTCGCAGCTACTCAGGAGGCTGGGAGCATCAACTGAGCCCAGGAGTTTGAGGACACAGTAAGCTGAGATCACATCACTGCACTCCAGCCTAGGTGACAGAGTGAGACCTTATTTCAATCAATCAGTCAGTAAAACTGAGCGTGGTGGCTCATGTCTGTAATCTCAGCATTTTGGGAGGCCAAGGTGGGCAGATCACCTGAGGTCAGCAGTTCAAGACCAGTCTGGCCAACATGGGGAAACCTCATCTCTAATAAAAATTCAAAAAAAAAAAAATAGCTGGGCATGGTTGCGCATGCCTGTAGTCCCAGCTACATGGGAGGCTGAGGCAGGAGAATCAGTTGAACCCAGGAAGCGGAGGTTGCAGTGAGCCGTGATCGCACCATTGCACTACAGCCTGGGTGACAGAGTGAGACTCTTTCTCAAAAAATAAATAAATAAGAAACACAGAGATGACTCAGGTATGCCACCATTTCTTGTGTTCATCATGCTGAAAGGACTAGAGATAGCAAAAGAAGAAAAATAAAATTGCTTTGTATAAAAAAGGGAACTGATATGATTGCTTATATGTGGACAGATGGATGAGCCGGCACGTCCTGAGGGTGTTTATGAAGAGGTCCGCACATTATATGAAAAAATTGCAAATGTTATCCAACTGGGGTACCCTCTCCCAGGCATAAACCCATTTTGGGGGGATCAGGCCAGGTACAGTGGCTCATGCCTGTAATCCCAGCACTTTGGGAAGCCAAATGCAGGAGGCAAGCTCTCCTGGTTCTAAGCAATGGTGACTGAGTGCTGATTGTGTTGGTGACGCCTGCTCTCGTAGCAGACAGGCCCTGTGGTTCTAAATCCTCATGGATATGGCTAATTCCATGGTAACAATTTATTAGGACCTTATTAGGGTCCTTATTAGAACAGAAGACATTCCTATTACCCAGGAGATTCCAAGGGATTTAGGAGCTCTGCATCAGCAACCAGGGCCAGAGACCAAATATTAGAACATAAGATGCACCTAGTACCACTATTGTTCAGGAAATTATACACGTTTTAGGAGCTCTGTGCCAGGAACTGGAGACAGAGACCAAACATATATTTCTTATTAAGTCGCAACCAGGAATCTGGATCAAGAGTGAATTCCTTGTTCCCAATGGAACAGGGGACGCAATAAATGGCAGATGGTGGGAGCCGGGTTCCTCACTGTTGAGTAGAGTTACAGACACGGAATGGGGGAAGCCTAAAATGAGCCCTGTGATAATGGATGAGTCTACTGACTGAAGACATAAGCATAAACTCACATCTAGCTTAATATATACACAGACGGTTCCACGTAGAAACCTTTATAATTAAGTGGGGACATACAAGTTAGAATACAAATATACATTTCTTTGCACTGTCAGCTGCGAGGGTCATGATGCAATGACCACGTTTAGTGGCTGGACATGTTTTTAATACCATTCTCTAACAAAGAAAATCAGGGCTCTTTGAAGAAATGGCTGAAACTAACCGTAGAACAGAAAATACCCGAGTCAGGATACTTTTGAATTAACAGTAAGAAATTTAAAAAAACATTAAATTATGTCAAAGGAGCCAGTGGAGAGAGCTCCCTGTGGCCATAGGTATAAACAAAATACAAAATACTGTAGAATGGGTAACAACCACAAGATGAAAGTAGCTATCTGAGTGCCCACACCAGTGCGCGCAAACGATCAAACAGATACACATATCTGAGTGTCCCCACCAGTGCGTGCAAACGATCAAATAGGTACACACATCTGAGTGTCCACACCAGTGCGCGCAAACGGTAAAACAGGTACACACATCTGAGCGTCCACACCAGTGCGCGCAAACAGTCAAACAGGTACACACATCTGAGCGTCCCCACCAGTGCGCGCAAACGGTCAAACAGGTACACACATCTGAGCGTCCACACCAGTGCGCGCAAACGGTCAAACAGGTACACACATCTGAGCGTCCCCACCAGTGCGCGCAAACGGTCAAACAGGTACACACATCTGAGCGTCCCCACCAGTGCGCGCAAACGGTAAAACAGGTACACACATCTGAGCGTCCACACCAGTGCGTGCAAACTATCGAAAAGGTACACACATCTGAGCGTCCACACCAGTGCGTGCAAACTATCGAAAAGGTACACACATCTGAGCGTCCACACCAGTGCGCGCAAACGGTAAAACGGGTACACACATCTGAGCGTCCACACCAGTGCGCGCAAACGGTCAAACAGGTACACACATCTGAGCGTCCACACCAATGCGCGCAAACTATCGAACAGGTACACACATCTGAGCGTCCACACCAGTGCGCACAAACGGTAAAACAGGTACACACATCTGAGCGTCCACACCAGTGCGCGCAAACGATCGAACAGGTACACACATCTGAGCGTCCACACCAGTGCGCGCAAACGATCAGATACACACATCTGAGCGTCCACACCAGTGCGCGCAAACGATCGAACAGGTACACACATCTGAGCGTCCACACCAGTGCGCGCAAACGATCAGATACATACATCTGAGTGTCCACACCAGTGCGCGCAATCAGATACACACATCTGAGTGTCCACACCAGTGCGTGCAAATGTAAAACAGGTGCACACATCTGAGCGTCCACACCAGTGCGTGCAAACGATCGAACAGGTACACACACCTGAGCGTCCCCACCAGTGCGCGCAAACGATCGAACAGGTGCACACATCTGAGCGTCCCCACCAGTGCGCGCAAACGATCGAACAGGTGCACACATCTGAGCGTCCCCACCAGTGCGCGCAAACGATCGAACAGGTACACACATCTGAGCGTCCACACCAGTGCGCGCAAACGATCAGATACACACATCTGAGCGTCCACACCAGTGCGCGCAAACGATCGAACAGGTACACACATCTGAGCGTCCACACCAGTGCGCGCAAACGATCAGATACACACATCTGAGCGTCCACACCAGTGCGCGCAAACGATCGAACAGGTACACACATCTGAGCGTCCACACCAGTGCGTGCAAACGATCGAACAGGTACACACACCTGAGCGTCCCCACCAGTGCGCGCAAACGATCGAACAGGTGCACACATCTGAGCGTCCCCACCAGTGCGCGCAAACGATCGAACAGGTGCACACATCTGAGCGTCCCCACCAGTGCGCGCAAACGATCGAACAGGTACACACATCTGAGCGTCCACACCAGTGCGCGCAAACGATCAGATACACACATCTGAGCGTCCACACCAGTGCGCGCAAACGATCAGATACACACATCTGAGCGTCCACACCAGTGCGCGCAAACGATCGAACAGGTACACACATCTGAGCGTCCACACCAGTGCGTGCAAACGATCGAACAGGTACACACACCTGAGCGTCCCCACCAGTGCGCGCAAACGATCGAACAGGTGCACACATCTGAGCGTCCCCACCAGTGCGCGCAAACGATCGAACAGGTGCACACATCTGAGCGTCCCCACCAGTGCGCGCAAACGATCGAACAGGTGCACACATCTGAGCGTCCACACCAGTGCGCGCAAACGGTAAAACAGGTACACACATCTGAGCGTCCACACCAGTGCGCGCAAACGGTCAAACAGGTACACACATCTGAGCGTCCACACCAGTGCGCGCAAACGATCGAACAGGTGCACACATCTGAGCGTCCACACCAGTGCGCGCAAACGATCGAACAGGTGCACACATCTGAGCGTCCCCACCAGTGCGCGCAAACGGTCAAACGGGTACACACATCTGAGCGTCCACACCAGTGCGCGCAAACGATCGAACAGGTGCACACATCTGAGCGTCCACACCAGTGCACGCAAACAGTAAAACAGGTGCACACATCTGAGCGTCCACACCAGTGCGCGCAAACGGTAAAACAGGTGCACACATCTGAGCGTCCCCACCAGTGCGCGCAAACGGTCAAACAGGTACACACATCTGAGCGTCCCCACCAGTGCGCGCAAACGGTAAAACAGGTACACACATCTGAGCGTCCACACCAGTGCGCGCAAATGATCAAACAGATACACAGACGGGCTGAGGAGAATTCCAAACACCTCATGCAGACATTCAGTCATTAAGGACATACAGCTAACTCCCACTCCTTAGGTGTGGGCTCTGCATGGCAACTTCCTCCAAAAGCATACATACCATACAGACATGGGAAAAAAGTAACTTCACAGTGAGAAACCTGAAAATACTCTCTCAGCCAGGTAATCAAAGTTAACATTAATGGTGATGACACATCTTGTGAGCATGAAGTGACTAGAAATAAAATTCAAAGGCCCTTCCCCCAGTTATCTGTATAGACTCCCTTCTCTCCACCAGGGGACACCAGTTAACCTGGAAGACTGGTTCAGGTCATGATGGGAACGAGGTGGTCAGACATGGCTCATTATACCTTCCTCCCTTTTGGAATTCAGGAAAAGCCAATCAGCATTTAACACCAAAACAAACCTTCAATCTGGTAAAAAAAAAAAAAAAAAAAAAAAAAAAATTGCAATCTATTCTCTCTGAAGCCTGCTCCCCGGAGGCTTCATCTGCATAAAACTTTAGCCTCCATAACCCCTTATCATAACCTAGAGGCTCCTTTCTATTGACAACTCTTACAACCAATTACCAATCAGAAAAATTTTAAATCTACCAATAACCTGAAAGCCCCTCTTCACCCTAAACCACTGGGTTGTTGCACCTTTCTAGACCGAACCAATATGTATCTTAAATACATTTGATTGATATATCCTATCTCCCTACAATTATAGACGCAAGGAGCATCCCAGGTTCTTCTGCGGCTTCCTAGAGCTTATAAACCCTAAAGCCTAAAACTGACCCCAACCCTAACCCTAACCCAAAACCATAATCCCCAAACCCTAACCCCATACCGAACCCCTAACCCTAACTGCTAACCCCTAACACCTAACCCTAACCCCTAACACTGACCTGACCCCAACCCCAACCCTAAACCCTAACCCAAACCATAAACCCTAACCCTCTAACCCTAAACTTAAGCCATAACACTAACTCCAAACCCTAACCCCAACCCTAAACCCTACCCCTAACCTTAACCCCTAACCTCGATCCAAACCCTAACAGCTAGCCCCTAACCCCAACCCCTAGCCTGAACCCTCTCTCTATCCCTAACCCTAACACTAACTCCTGCCCCTAACCCTAACCCAAACCCTGAACTCTAAACCTAACCCCTAACCCTAAGCACTAACCCAAACCCTAACTCTAACCTTAAACCCTAACACTAACCCTAACTCAAAC